CGTCCCGCTGCCTGCCCTCACGCCTCCCCACTCCGAGCCCCCGAAGGGAAGAGAAGGAGCCTGACGCCAAGCCCCGCGCTCAGCCCACCACCTTTCGCTTGCGCTCGAGCCCGCCAAAACAGAGCAGGCAGACTCACTCTAACTCCCCGCGCTCAGCGCGCCCTACCTGCCTTCCTCCAGCTCGTCCCCGCGCGCCCGTCTCCCTCAGTCTGACTCGAAATTGAAATTCCCTGGCCGAGGCCGTCGGCACCACCCCAACCCTAAACTGCCTCCGCCTGGAACCCCGCCCCCTTCTGAGCCAGCCGCGACTTCTAGCCAATCAAGGGCTCGGGACAGCTCTTAGCCCCTCCTATGTCCCCTTGGGGTTTTTCCTTGGCCCATCAATCACAGGTACGGCCTGTTGCCTGTCTCCCTCCTGCTCTTTCCAGCCACGCCCATCAATCGCCAGTCTGAAGTTTGAAGAACCGCGCCTTCACGCCCGCGGGGCTCGCGCTTCCTTCGGGTTATTGTCTTCTGTCGCTGGGGGCGAGAAATGCGGGGCGGGGGAGAAAAGCAATCATAAGTGAATTAACGATTTTAAATATTCAGTGGTTCCTTTTTCCTGCCAATTCGTTTACTGCAAATTTTAGGTGCGCAGCATACCCGGAATACAACGCGGAGACTGAATTTTCTTTGGTTAGGAGCTTTTAATGTCGCTTATGTCATCGATCATGTCCCATATGCATTGCCCTCCGGATAATTAGGGACGCAGTCTCATGAGATACTGCCATCAAATGAGGATGAAGCAGCAATCTTGCTAACTCACTCAATCTTTTTAATTTTATTTGTTCCAGGTTTTATATATCACCCCAATCACTAGGATTCTAGGTGGTGCACAAAATTCAAAAGAGAAAAAAGAACACTTATATAAGCTATTTTTAACATAATAATGTCCATGTATTATAAGCTGCCCAGAATCTTTCTGGAGTCTGGTGACCTTGAAATCAAATAAATAAGCAAGCATAAAGAGCCTTTCTGAACAAAAGGAAAATTGGGACCAGTTGTATTTCTAAGGTCAAAGGGTGGGGGGGACAGTCTTATTAAAAGGGTTTGACATTTTGTCTGAACCTCATCAATCCCTGGTTTGGCGGGAGGATGCAGGATTCTCCACAAGGCTTCTCTTGATGGTCAGAATGTCTTTGGTAAAGCAATAATTCCTGGTATACCCTAGTGCCATGCTTTAGAAATAGCCACCTAGCACTTTTGAATTGGATGTAGAGTCTATCGGTAACCAGTAGATCTAAGAGTAAATGTAATCCTACAATAGCAGGTTTCCCCAGCTATCAGTCTAGCCACCAAATTTTGGATCAATTGTAGCTTCCACTCTGTATTCAGAGATAGCCCTATATAGAATATGTTGAAATAGTCCAGTTGTGTGGTGATCAGGGCATGAGTTACTGTCACTTGAACATCTAGGTCGAAACAGGGCCTTAAATGACACACCAGCAGGTGCTGAGCAAAGGTGCCATGATTTCCACCTGTGAGTCCAGAAGGATGCTCAAGTCACAGACCAGTATTTTGGAGGAGGGAGGGTGACTCCGTCAAGAATCACAACTGGAGATGATACTCCTGGACACTTACCAATGAACAACAACTCTGTCTTGGTAGGAATTATTTGAGCTTGTTCCTACCCACCCAGATTCCTATCACTTCTGGACACCATTTCAGGACTTCCACAGCATTCCCAGCTCACCCAGGATGGTAATATACAGTTGAGTATCTTCAGCATACTGATATACCTCACCCCTAATTGACAAATAAGTTTCAAATGGATGTTAAGTAACAAAGGAGGTAGCGGCCAGCTCTGAATCACCCCACCCTGGAATACCTGAGGGCTCAACTGCTCAACCTCTACAATAATTTCATCCAGTGCCCTGCTCCCTTCTGTATTCCAGAAATCTACCAAATGCAGACAGACCTGCCTGCCAAATTGTTGGGAAAGTCCCCAAGTCACTTTTGGAAACCCCCTGGATTTATCTTATTTATTTATATATTCAATTTATATTTTAAATTTGGTTTCTCTTACCTGAAGGATTAAAATAATAAATCATATATCGCATCACCTAAAATGATGAGATAAATTTATGTGGGTTGAAGTGGGGAGAATAAAACAAATTAAATTACTCAGGTTTTTAAATAAAATGGAATTAGTTTAGCCTTACCCCTTAAAATTATGGACTCCCCTCCAAAAAATATAGTTAGTAAAATATCCTCTTTTGATGTTACAAAGCTCTTCAGCTGTTAAGTCCTAGCACCATGGCCATTGATACGGGATGATGGGAGCTGCAATCCAGCATCTGGTGGGTTCAGGTTGCCCATTGTTGCCTTAAGCAAAGAAGTCAACATAATCCCAATTATATTAAAATGGAGATTGTTACACACCAGTTAAGAGTTAATTCAGTTTCATTTTATCTGATGGGCCTTCCAAAATGTCATTTCTCATACCAGTTCTCAAACTGAATATCATGATACCTCCCATGGTATCTCAAGTAATTCTTAGTTAACCAAACCATCGCTGTGTTTGAACCATAGAAGAGCAAAGCAATTACTTCTAAACAGCCTGTGTATCGTACTTCTTGGCAGAGTTTGCACTTGCAGTTGAGTCAACACAGCTTATGTGTTTTCTCCACATTTCTGCTTTCCCTAGGGTTTAGAAAATCTCAGAAAGAATGGAAAGAATGTTCTCTAGTACTGACCCTGCTTTTCTCCAGAAGCAGCAGCAACTTTTGCCTTTAAAGATTTTGAACCTCTGAAGATACATAGGAGGCACACAAACCAGTTCCTCTTTTGCTCTGATACTACAATGGCTTTTAATTATTTTAATGGCACTAGCCTCAGCAGGTTTAATTAACACAATGTTATAAACAACTGGAGCTAGAAGCCCCTTCTCTCAATTAGGCCTCCCAAGGATATTGTCACTAGCAAGATGTTTTCCTGGACAGGACAAAGCCAAACAGGAAAGGAAGCATTTTGCAGGTCCCTTCTGATTTTTCCTTACCTGCTGTCTTAATAGTCAGAGAAGCTTGGTATCTAACATTCCTTTCATTGCATGAGGCAAATTTTGATTCCTTTCTGATACTTCTCGTGTTTTTAAAGCCATTTGTCTCGGCTGCAAATGTGACCCAGTGACATAGGCTTGTATAAAGTGAAAAGAAAAACCTCAGCAGAAAGTAAACAGTCTAGCTGTCAGCAATGTTGGTTTAAACAACAATGCTGTCTCCTTGCTCCTTCATAGCTTTCACTTATGCTTTGACAAAGAGGAATTTATGAGCTTTAAACAAGCTTTTGAGGGACACTTCTTCCTTACAGCCCTCGTTGCCAAAAAATAAATATTAAATATTAAACTGTAGTTCCATAAAAAGTTTATCTAAATAGTTCATTGATTCTAGGGGTGACTAATTCCAAATGAGGTTAATGGTCAGGATCAAGACTAGGAAATTCAGTTATTGTTTGCTGCTGTTTCTATTTTTTCCCCATCTTTATATTTTGGTAAAGATAGCAACAGTTTGGATTTTAATAACTGCATTTTGTGTTTTCACAGAATGGAAAGATCATGGGAAGAAATGAGGAAAAAACAAACTGAGGCACGAATTTATAGAGCTCTCAGAATGATCAGTTCAGAGAGAGGAGGAACTAAAAACAACTACATCACTGAGAACATCTTTTGGGGACAGACCTTGGTTCCTAACACTCTCCGTGCAGCTTGATGGAATGGCAGCTAAAAGATGACTGTCAAGGAGTATTTGTATTTATATTGCCCACAAATATCATTTGATTTGTTTATCTTTTGCCAACGTGTTGTGCAAAACTAGCTAATTGTGTTTTACTTTAGAAATAAATGTTGCAACATTAAAATCCTTACAGTATTTTGGTCTCTTTTATGTCATGGGTCATGGGTTCAAGGGAATGATCTATATTACATAAATTAACCTAAGAGGTATTTAGAAGGAACAAATGAGCACTATTTTATCAGGTATACATAAGAGAACATCAACATTTTCCCCCAGGTCTGCCAATCATTCCATTGTCTTTTCCCTGAATGATTAACTGGTTGAGGCTTGGGTAAAATTTCTTCCCTGTTCTTGCAAAACGGAGAACTCCAGTTCCACATTAATGGGCATCTGTCCAGGCTTACTGGGTTAGCAATATCTCAGTGGAGAGGTGTAAGTCATTAGCAGGAAGGCACTAACTTCCAAGGACACACTAACTCTTGATTCCACTGCCATTCATTTTCCTTTTGATCATAATGGCCTGGCCTAGTGTTTCTTGTAGCTTACAGATTGAGACTGCTTGTAATCCAACAGCATTACATCTCTGGATGGCATTAAATCTAACTAAGCAGGAGAAGTGTATTTTTGAGGTGGAAGTCTTGTAGTATAATGGTTCCCAACTCCAGGCCATTTTAATTTTCTTTCTGCCTGCATTAATGCCATTATCTACTTTCTAATCAATGTCTGTACATTAGCTTGGTTTGGAAGCTGCATATTTAAATAGCTTCACTAAATCATCTGTGAGCGTTTAACATTTATTGCTGGGAGGAAAGGTGGCTGATAATATGCATGGCAAGTCTCCTTATTAGGAAAAAGATACAGTAAAAGCCCATTGTATCCTGAGCAATCAAGAGCCACACGTGGTCCACACTTAAACCATTGCTTACAATTGTTTTGTTTTGAAGAACAAGCAACCATGGCACTTAAAAATGTAAATGTAAGGGGGTGACAGGTCGTATGCTCCCCCAGGTCCAGCCCCCACCAAGCCAATCACTGTCATCAGCTCCTGTAAGTAGGGAAGCAGTGACTAACAAAGGAAAGCACCAGCTGAGGCTGCAGCAGTTCCTGCTCCTGCCCCTGCCCCTGCCCCCTCCCAAGTTAGATGTAATGGTATGTGGAAATGACCCTGGGAGACAGGAGGAGGAGCTGCAGACTGGACTACCAGCATGCATAAAATTTATCAGCCCACAGAAGGAGCTGGAGCATGGGGAGCATTTCAGGAGGGACCCTCCCTAGTTTTCTAGAGAGTAAAAGGAAAGGAAGGGGGGAAATACTTTCATACTTGCAAGATTCTGTTAATGTAACTGTATAATAAAGACAGAGTTAGTATTCATGGTTGTGCTTCTTGCCTGCACTATCTCAAAGGGCTAACCCTATACAGTAGTCTGAACCAGCCACACTGCCAGAGGGCATTAGAGAAGAAAAGGGGGGAGT